AGGGGTGGGCAGAGAAAGAGGAAGAGGAAGAGGAAGAGGAAGAGAAAGAGGAAGAGGAAGAGGAAGAGGAAGAGGAAGAGGAAGAGGAAGAGGAAGAGGAAGAGGAAGAGGAAGCTGGTCAATTGCAAGCGGGGCGAAAGGAGTGCAGTGATGCTGACAACTTCCTCGCAGCTGGCAGCTGGGACTCACCTTGCTCAGATTCGCTCTTGACTCTGCGTGACACTTTCGCCTTCTCTGTATTCTTTCTCTGCTTCTTCTCCTCCTTGCTTCTTCTACCTTTGCTCTCCTTGCGCTTGCGCGTCTCAGGTAGCGCACCCTGACCTTCTCCCACCTCCACCTTGCCATCCCCTCTTGCGGCTTGATGGATGAACGCACCCCTGCTCTTCCACCAAAATTCTTGCAGCTCTTCGTTGCCATTGCGATCTCTCAAGACCTTTGCCAGCGTCTCGATGAATTGCCTGCAATCCGCGACCAGTGTGGAGCCAGAGGGACTCAGCAACTGCGTTTGCAAGGCTTTGGAAGAGAGTGCGGATTGCAGTAGACGTTCGGCTTGCGCGTTGGTAGGCACGCAACCCGCTTCCAGAGCCGCGGCCACATCCACGATTGTCATCTTGTCCTCTCGATCGCCTGTCTGGGCTTTACAGTCCAAATGAGGGGAGAAGTGGGGGATGGTGTTGAAGCTGCAACATCCTTTACCTGCATTACAGAGCTGCAGTGTGAGTAGTCACCGAGGAATGGATGGCAGCATCCCCAACAAGCATCGTGCATCTCCTCTCGTGGATCTTGAATATGAATCAATGTGAATGCACCCTCCCTCCCCGCCGGCTCATCTTCAGATCCACGACTCGACTGCCGCTCGCCTGCTCAGCAGCCCTCTGCATGCTGAGCAGGCAGTCAGTCTAAGTCAGACAGAGAGTGCGTGTGAGTAGTGAGCGCAGAATGTGGAGAGGGCGTCGAAGCTGTGCAAATCCGCAACGCTGCGTCAACATGCATGCATGCACGTTGCAGATCTATAGAGCGCGTGGCGCACACGTGACCGGAAGGAGAGAGAAAGCTCTTTGCTTGCAAGCAAGCAAGCAAGCAAGCAAGCATGCGCATGCTCGAGAAGGATCGGTCATCGTCATAACGACAGACAAGCCACGCATTCGTCGGAAGCGTGACTCGTGACTCGTGACTCGTGACTGTCAGACTCACACGTACTCAAGACTCACTGATCGACTCGTGGTGACTTGACTCCTCTGACACCGATGAAGGTGTCCGTCCCACTCGCGGCCCTCAACTCACACCACACTTTGACTCGACAAACGCACGCTCATGCAGCCGCGCTGGAACAGAGGCACACAAAATCGTGAATCTCGAATGCTTGACCTGCTTTCAAGCCACAAAATCTTCTCGACGCGCATATGTATCCTAGGGGCATTGCATGTGCAGCATATCCCCAGCACAGTACGCAAGCTCTTCTTACTCTGGACTGGCGGCGAATCATGAGTTTTGTCCTTCCCACCCGCCCGTCCGCCCGCCCGCTCGCTCGCTCCTCGCCACTTCCTCCTTGCCCGCTGTGTGGCCGGCGCGTCGCTCGGTCCATGATGCTGCAAGCGCAAGGCGCGCAGGAAAGAAGAGGGCGCGGGCAAACATCGCTTTTGCAATTTGCGCAGCTTCGCGATTTACTACTCTACTCGTAACTTGATTGTCAAGGCAGATAGATGCAGATAGATCGAGACGAGGGATCAGCGCGATGAGCCAGCGTGCGGTGTTGGAGGTGATGGATGGTGGTGCATGGATGGATGCAGCAGTCTGTTCAATCGACGACCACACTTTGCCTCCTCTTGCGGCTGCTGCTGGACGTCAGTTCAAGGCGACACCTGTCACGCTTGCTTGCTTGCACATCCGACACGCCCAAATCGGAATAAGCACGCGTCACGCGTACCGGTACAGTACACGTGTCATTTGCTTGCTCTGGCTTGCCCTCATGTGTTGGCGATAACATAACGCAAAAGGTGCCGTCGGCTATCCACATGTACATGTTCCTCTGCTATGTACCATTGGCTATACTCAAAGACTGTAGGTATGTACAGATGCGATGACCCAAGTCCTTGCGGCCAAGATCGAGATGGATCGCGCTCGCGGAGCACCGGTAGAAGGATAGGCGAACGAACGAACGAACGAACGAACGAACGCTGCTGTCTCAAAGTCGGCGTCTTTGTGGCGGAAAATTGAGATGCAGTCTTGAGTATATATGGCTCATGCATGTGCACTGGGTGACCGCCAGGCCACGGTGCTTGGCGTCGCGCACGCATGCACACATCAAAGCGCAGGCAAAACCCCAGCAGCGCCACGCCGGCGCACT